TGTTTTTAGAGCTTATTCTTTGGATAGATATTAATGTTTCATGCCCTATATTTTTACCACATATAGCAATATGTATTCATACTACACAATAGAATAGCAGTTGTTGTACAATGTTTGAGTACACAATTTTCACCGTATATTATTAAATCAATTAGACAAACAAACAAAAAACTATTTAGTTCTGAAGTTTGTACAAGATTTATCACAAGCAAGTTGGTTGGTCTATTTACCTTAAATAATTTCAATGATTTAACTCAGGAAGGCCAGTAGTGTTTTTTGACTGTAATGTTCACTAGGTTAAACATTGCTAATAGAGAGGCGAGGTCCTTTTTCAAACCACTGAAAACGTGTTTAATCATAAAAATCCAACCTTGTTTCGTGAGGTTATCTTAGTTAAGAAAAGTAATGATAATATAAGAGCTAAAATTAAAGTTAAACTTAGTTACGTTTGATATTTGGAAACTCAAACGTACACATGAGTTTCCTTTTAAGTTAAGCATTAACGGAATCTAATAACTTATACACAATTGCAATTGTTTTAGCATTTATTGCACTAGTTAAATATGATAAGATTGCTAAATTGTAAATACGTTAACCTGTAACGGCAAAAGGTATATTTTTTAAATATTTTGAACATTGTTCATCGCATTAAGACTATGGTGGTTGTTGAACTAACCTTATCTCAGGACAGATAGCCTTCCCGTAGCTACAAGAAATAAACTTATATAAAGAAATAGTTGAAAATACTCTTCAGATTTGGGTTGTGCTTTCCAGTGATAAGGTAAAAAGAAATGACTGTTTAAAAACAACCTCGTAGCTAAGTTCCTTGTAAGCATGAATTAAACATAAAAAGATTCATACTGATAGTAAAATATATCAAGACCTCAACAAAGATTAGGACATTTTTATGAGTTTGAATATAATAGGTTGGCTAGAAGCTGGCGAAACACAACAAGTTTCATATGGTGTGGTTATCAGGATGTGAACTCGCTACTAAACTACCGATACAGTTGAAAGATGTGGACAGAGTAAAGCATTGTCGCTAATTTCGCAAGAATATCACTACTTGAAAGTATGAACTCGACTCAAAGCTACAGTTCAGAGCCACATCTGGACTTGAAATTATTATTCAAACTATTAGAAATAGGTTCCATAAGGGTTGACTTTTATGTTAGACCATCAATGGCGTGGTTCCCCTAACTCATCACTACAAAACAATCCATGTTAAGAACACTGGGAGAGTGTATGGGACCAGATCCAACGCCAGTTTTATGAAAGAAAGACACAAATACTGGCGTGGGCAGCATTGGTGGTAAAAGTAACAATCACATGCTACGACACAACACTATGATATTAGGATGCAATCATTTGTGTTTAGTGCTGCCAGTTGCAGGTGAATCTGATCAGAAAGTTTTTCTGACGGATAATAGATAACATGCACTACTCAACCGTACTTAGCTGGTTGGTAACTTTCTAAACGAAGATGGTACCGAGCGAATCTAGAGAAGTTCGTTAAGCAGGTATTAAATGCTGTAGGAAAACACCCCACGATTCACCTACAAGTAGTGTTAATAAACTGGAAGCAACTCTGGTGAAAGAATGAGTCATATTATCCTAGAAGCTCATTGATTCATTCATCAATGTCCGAGTTATGTCAATGTCCGAGACACCTTATTAACAAATGTTTTCTAATAATTTATTGGTCTGCAAAGTCTATAATATCAAATGAGCATTTGTTGACATGGACTCCAGTGGTTTACATTTGCATGTCAAATTACATAACTGATCACCTGGTGCTTATTATGCAGAGAAATACAAAACTCAGAGATACCTATTATCTATATATACATATATATAAAGAACAAAAATATGTGTGTCTGCTTGTTTGTCTGTCAGCCATCTAACTACTCCTAGGTCGCTGGTCCAATCTCAACTAAACTTTGTGAGATGACAGTTTGGAACAAGAGGCTTGTATTAACATGCCTATTAAGGGCTTCAAACCCATCCACCCCCATTATTGCTGTTATTGAGTACTCATTATCTTTGGCGTAAATTAACGTTAACTACATTACACATAAACATACAAAAAAATATTAAATTTTCTATAACACAAAATACACAAACGTCTATGGAGTAATGCCATGAAAAAAAAAATGGCGACCACTATTGCAAGAATACATGAACTTACCTGGAGTTTCTATTCCAACAGCCACCATAAGCTGATAGGAATAGCCGTTTCTTGAGTTATACCGACCTCCTACTTTGACCCGTGACATTTCAACTTCATCCTGTAAGGTACTTCTGCTGGCAATGACCGTCAATTAATTAACGACGTGAAACAGTGTGGAAAGACTTTAAGAGGTGGATATTGAAAGCGGGTAACATAATAACAATAAATATTTTTAACAATAACCTCTGAGTAATCTGCAGAAGTAGTTCGTCACATCCAAAAATATAGAAAATAAAATAAAAATATTTCTTCCTATGTCAATCTTGGTTCTTTCTACCTACCAGAAAGAACTTTGTATTTCTGTATGTTCAAAATTGCCGCTATTTTGCCGCTACCTCTTCACCCTGACCATCGCACAGTGTATATCATGTTTGAAATACATATACATATTGAGTTCCTAAACCTTTTACGAAACTTTTGGTGAGGTAATATTGAATACTGTAATAATATGTTATGTTATAAATAAATTGTGTGAAAGTTAGGATTTTTTTGTGTTATTTATCATAGCATCCATTCCAAATATATATTTAAGTTGATAACCCGGAGCCCACCAGTGGCACAGCGGTATGTCTGCGGACTTACAACGCTAGAAACCGGGTTTCGATACCCGTGGTGGGCAGGGTACAGATAGCCCATTGTGTAGCTTTGTGCTTAATTTTAAACAAACAAACAAAAACATAACCCGGACACAGGACGAGTACCTCAGCTTGTATTATATTATTGTACAGGTTGTGCCTTTTTATAGCTAGAGTATATTAAAAATCAACTGTAATAGAGAGAAAATGTGCTTGATATTTTTGCATAATTACAAGAAAATCATTTACAATTTCAATTCTGAAGCATAATTCGCATTTCTCATTGTTATAGTAGATATGTACCTCATTGAAGCTTCAAAATGTCCTCTCCAAAACTTGTCAACCACAAGGCCTTTAAAGTAACATCTTCTAAAAGAGTCATTGCTAAATGTATTCATTTCTCCTGTCCTAACGTTTTAATATTATTTGGAGAGAATAAGTTTTATCTGGCTATTTCTTTTAGCAGTGGGAGTCTGAATTAGTTTTTAGTTGTTATTACAATGACATTATAAAGATACTAACCAGACGAGTGGCTTATTTTAGAACTTGAGGTTAGTTTTAAACGAATCTTCTGCCTTTTGTCCAGAAATGGGCGATTCTGATACCAATGTGAAGTGCTTTACAAATCATGGAGTTCTGTGATGTAATATGTCATGAAAATATGACGAAACGCTCTGAAAGCATTTTTTGTATACATATTTTTTTTCTACAGTCGGCACTATTTTCTTAAGAAGAACTGCTGTCTATTTCACCGTGTGTTGGATTCATCCCTATAAAAAAATAAAGAAGACATTTTGCAATGTGTAACATCTACACTCCACTCATAAGTCTAATGTAACTGTTCTAGCCGATGTTGACTGTTCTTGGAAGATATAATCAAAATATCTGTATTCCTGTGTTTCATCTCACTTAAATAAAATGAAGATAGATAGAGAAACATGTCATCCATACGTATATTACTTCTCTAAACCGCCAAGTGTATAGCAAGAAGAAAATAACTGAAACACGAATTCGAAAATATCATTCAGCTTGTATGAGAGAACCACTGGATAACTGTTCGGCCACAGAAAAAACTCTTATTTTTTATGAAGTAAACCAAGTAAGCCACAATTGTTTACATGTGTGTTGCTTATATGTATAGAGCAAAGTCTTAGAAGCTGTAATGCATTTCTTACACAGGGTCCTATAGTGTTTGCTGTGTATACTTATATCGAACAAAGTTTGTACAAAACAAACTTATACAGCGTGAACGTCCTACACAAAAATATATCTTGTTGTTTATGTCTATATAACGTACAAATGAAATCTTGCTTTATATACATACGTTCCTCAAAGCCACGTCATACAATAATTTTGGTATATATAACCGAGTTGCTCTCTGTACACTTTACTGTAGTGTATATATGGTGGTACTTAGTAGAAACATAAATAAGGCCGTGTATAAGCTACACAGAACCAGTTCTTACTGGTTGTATATCACGTAGAAACCAGTTGTAAGGGTCTGTATGGAATATGACACAAAACAAAGTCCTTGTATCTTTACATTGCACAGAACCAAATCTTTTTTTTCGTATTTGTGTTACATAGAACCAACTTCTTGTTTACGAGTGTTCAATTGACCAAGCTCTACAATATGTATGTCACGTAGAACTATCTTTACTTAATCAATTTCTTCTACGTGCTTGTTGTATAGTACGAAGTTTTTCCGTGTATATGGTATTGAACCAACTTTTTCTATGTGTATTTTACACAGAATATACTTCGATATTTATGCTAGAGTGAACCAGTTTTTCTGTTGTATGTTACATTGGATGAATTCCAGCGATGTTTATCTTACAAAAGTGTTAGTGTTCCACATGATAAAATACTAATGTGTATACGTACCACCGAATCAAGTTCAGCTTTGTTTATGTCGCACAGAATTAAGTTCTGCTTTTTGTATGTCACATAGAGTCAAGTTCTGCTTTATGTATGTCACAATCATGTTTTACTTTCTGTATGCCACACAAAATCAAGTTGTGCTTTATGGAATCACACAAACTGAAGTTCTGGTTTTGTATGTCATATAGAACTAAGTTCACCGGCGTGTGTCTTTTACTGAGTAAAATCTTGCATAATGAGGTGTACAAAACTAAGTTCTATACTGTACATATTACAGAGTAATAACAGAACACAGATGCCAATGAACAGCGTGGTATCTTGCAGAAGAAATACATTTTATTGAAATAAACGTCAGTGCATATTAGTCTGTAAAAGTACATGTAACACAATTGAAACTCTTTTGCTTTAAACAAACATGTTGAAGTAGCATATAAAACAGAAATAGGAAACACTTCTTATATAGAGTACACCTGAAATATTTCGACCGGCACGAGCAGTCCGTTAATTCTTTTAGACACATATATTTAGAGCCCGACTGTGCTAACTAAACCTGACTCGAGATACAAATATACATGTATATATTTATTGTAAGGTAATTACTATTTTTTTTTGCATTTTACCAGCTTTATTATTATTATTTCTAAGCAGTTTCTTTCGATTTCATAAATCACCTGATTGTGACATGTACTTGGTTTAAACAACGTACTTGGTATTTCCTTACACCTTTGGTCGAGATATTTCTTATGTTTTGTGTTAATCAGTATCCTGAAAAGAACATGCTGAAGATAGAGAAGACGCTAGAATTTCACCTGGAGTGTTTTTGATTATCATTATAGTGTGTCAAGAACATGGAAATATTGCTTAAAAACTATATCAGCACATGAGTGTGTAAATAACTGGGTATAACTAATGACACAAATTGTCACGTCTTATCTATCTGGTACAATTAGTGGTATGAACACAGAAATATACTTACAAGTTGGAAGTAAAGAGAGAACACAAAACAAATTATCTCCAACTATAAATACAACGACAGTATTTAAGCTTTAGCTGTTATATGCACGTGTTATATTAAAAATAACAGAACATTCTGTTACACTACAATTATTTTTAATACAGACAAAAAAAAAGATGAAAGTATGTTTCATCATATATATAATGGTTTTATCTTTTCCAGCTTAAGCGTTTTAACCTTCCGAATATGTGTTAGGTTAGAGATTATTTCAAAGTAACTATCCCATTTTTGCAATTAGTTGAATGCTTTCAAGTAAAGCCAAGTAAAAAGAAAAAAAACACGTTTAGCGTCCGGAGTATTCGGAAAAAAAAAAAAGAGGAAGGAGATCATTTTCTTAAATGACCTCTTTTAAAGAAAGTTTGCACCTTTATTTTCATGATTGTTGATTGTTTTCAAAGGGTCCATGTCAAACAGAAATCTTCTTTGTTTCATTTTTTCATCAAAACGATACAGAATTCATGATAAATAAAGAAAAATGGTCAAAATTAATCTGCTATATTCATTTCATTTTTTATTCACAAGTCTTCTTTGTTTTTTGTATGACAGAAAAACATAAACGAAAAAATCGCAAAAAAATGTAGGGGAGGCGGCTGCAAAAAGGGGGAGTGGGCGGGGACGCTAAACATGTATTTGTTTTTTAACTTGGCTTAAGTCAATTTTTAAAATAATTTTTACCTAATAATCTAACCAGGAGGTTCGGTTTTAAAACATTCGAAATTTCGACTCATTTTCGTTTGATAGTTGTAAATATTTGGTTTCGTTACGTCCATCTTACAGAAGTTAATATGTTGTAAATATTTGGTTTCGTTAGTCTATCTTACAGAAGTTAATATGTTGTAAATATCTGGTTTCGTTAGTCTATCTTACAGAAGTTAATATGTTGTAAATATTTGGTTTCGTTACGTCCATCTTACAGAAGTTAATATGTTGTAAATATTTGGTTTCGTTACGTCCATCTTACAGAAGTTGAAACAACATTTCTTCTTTAACAAATTTGGTTTCCTGTAAAACGTTTTGCTAGAGAAAAGGGAAGCATTAATAAATAACAAAATTAATATTTTTCTTGTTAAACTTATCCTTATTTCTGGAATAACTTATCGACTTTCGATAACATATTTGCATAATTGTTTGGTTTAAGAGGTTTTTGCACGGTGAGGTTTAACTAACCCCATCAGTCTGTTCGACAACACAGAAAATTTTGGCATTCTGTACTCTTTGAGAGATTTTGGTGATTAAAGAACGTTTACATCATATTTGAAACGTAGTCTGCTTATTCTTCCAGAAACATTAATAAAAGCTGAGTCTGATGAACGTGACTTTTATTTTTTCAAAAATAATAAAGTAAAATGCTGTCTTGGAAGTGGTTGTCTTTAACAATTTTAATGTATATAAATTGTGTTAACCACAAAGACTAAGTTAGTCAAAACGCCCTCTAAATGCAGTTCAAAATGTACATTGATTACAAAGATTCTGAGAAATATAGAGTTATAGAAAAAATAGATACTATGGGCTTAGAAAACATCGAACTTGAAGTTGGATATTTCTTGAATTTTCTCATAGTAATCTCATGATTCATAAAGAGATACGATTTTTATATATATCATTGAAATTCAAACTGAATCTACTCTATCATAGCACACTTGTTTTGGCATCATTTCTAAGTTATATAGTACTTTAGTCGTATTCAAAATGCACGACACAACCTTTATCATCTGTGACACACTATACATTTAGTGCTAACTGGAACAAAGGCAGAAAGACGTAGAAAACACAAAATTCTTATACATTATTGACAGCGTCGTATTTTTTAAAACATATTATTAAAAATACTAAAATGCAAGAAAATGAAAACTCTCTGCAAAAGTAAGAAATAATAAAGATTGAAGGTAATTTTTGTTTCAAATTAACGCGTTTCCTTTCCGTGCGAAATCTAGCTTCGCTTTAGAAACTCATCACCAAAAGGTAAAACGCCTCCTAGAATCAGAAGATATAAAGAAAATTTAAAACAAAAAGCGTGAAAGTTAATATCATTAAGAAATATAGTAAAATAAGGCAAAATATAATATTGTTATAATATATTAGAATATCAAAGACGATTTGATTATTGAATCCAACCTGAAAACAATGTTGGGGGAAAATCGAATAAGCATGGAACACAGCACGAGAAGTATTACAGCATTCATTCTCATACGATCGCTAACTCGATATTTTTCCGATGTCAAACTATAACTACTGGCTTAACAATTAATGGAATTTAAACTGTCGGACTATGTGATTATAATTCAAAACTATGACACGCACCGTAATGTCATAAAGAAGCTGAAAGGCCAGTCAGCGAATAACAGTCAGTGTATGAATGAGTGCAGGAAATGCTTTGTTAAATATATGTATATATATACCAAGATCCTGCTTAATAGGAAAACAAGAGACATTTCAAAGCTTAAGCAATGTGAGCCATACAAAAGCTAAGATAGATAAATCTAAAACTGAATAGCTGACAAGTCTGTAATTTAACATTACAGTGAACGATAATACAAATGGTATATATATATATATTTATGATGGAAATTTGTACAACATTAACTGAATGAAAGAAACATAGCAATAATCTTTAGATATGGGTTTTTTGAATCTAATGCACATCCGAAAACAATTGTATTTTTGAATCGATTTTAAATTGAAATAACAGAGTTATATACATTTATAACAATAACGAAGTACAAATAACATAAGCTGTTGCTAGGACTATATTTCTTCAATTGTTACAAAATCCAGTGAAGGTATATTTACTAGATTTTGCGAGTCACGCCATTTTTCTTAACATGCAATATTTCAAAAACGCAGTGGTGATAGCTACAGCTGAAAATAATTCGTCTTTTTTTTATCCTTATGTTAATATACGCTGTTTTTAAGCTACAAAATATCAGAAGTAAAATTAAGAGATAGCTTTTGATTCATAAACGTGCTAATGTTCAATAATAGAAACAAAAAAGAGCTACGTAAATATCAGTAAAGTTTAGAAATAATGTTCCCATTCCTATACATTTAACCGTAAGTATAAACTTAACGAAATTAATTATTAATATTTTTTCTTAAATGATAGAAAGATATTTTCCATTCTGACTGATAAATTACTTCAAGTTGCATAGATATTTATAGTAAAAATTTTCAGGATCAAGGATTGGTTGGTATAAGATTATGTAACTATATACTATGTAACTAAAAATGAAAATACTTGAACCTTTTTTTATCGGTCTCCACTATATAAAAAGTTAATACAGCTTCATCTGTTTTGAAAAGCAGTAATTTAATGCTACCAATACTAAGTAAGATATGCAAAAAATATAGCATTGGAAAACAGAGTTGTCATATTTACAACGAATTACAGATTTATAAGAATAGGGTGTACCTGAAATTGTACATTAATAACGGTATCATACCATACACTTATACGGTTTTTAAACCATATTTCCAACATATTCACCAAAATGTAAGTAGTTTAAGATCATTTGTCACATAAAGTCAAAATGAAGTAATAATTACATTTTGACATAAAAGCTTGAATACAGTTGGATGATTAACGATAAAATTAGCTCATTTACACAGCTCGTCATGAATTGTGCCGTTGAGTTTTAATTCTTTGATGAATTTCTAAGTTTAGTTTTCATAATTTTTTTACTTGATCAGTAAAAACAGTTATTTCTCACATATCCTATATACTATGTCCTTTAATCTCACTTGTTGAAACAAACTTATAAATTTATACAGTTTTGTGCACAAGGAAAATGATCAGACGTAATTCTCAAATAATTCCTAAAGTTTCTTGATACAAATATAAAGAAACAATTCAAATAAATATTTCATTGTTATCCAACTATACGATGTAATCTATTTTTGTAAACTTCCGTACAATTATCGGATTAAGTTTATAGTTAATCTTGCGTTTATAGTTAATGTAAAACTATATATAGTTTTAGAACACAACATCAGGTGTGCCTTTTTCTTCTTAAAGGTTATTTAAAATCAAGTGAGCTGAATGGGTATTTCTGTAATAATATTATTGTTTGAATACAGGTTCACATCTGAAACGTAATAACACTTGTAATAAGTTTAATAAGTTTATAACTCCGACAGAAATCTATTTAAAGATTGGCTAGGAACAGAACTTTCAATAAAGTATAGATATCATTGAAAAGTATGAACACATTTTATACAACTTTAGGCATCAGAACAGTTCGAAATTTCAGGATTTATTTCGGCTAAGTTATTCTCGCTTATACACGAAAATGGTTTGATTTTTGGAAAATTCAAAATATGGTTGTAGACTTTCTATCTATCTTTGCTTTTGTACGTCAAAAAATTTGGCAATAATAATGTATAGCGAAAAGAAAAAAGTAAGGTGAATTAGCATAGAAAGATAAGTTAATAATTTGAACGTCTTCCCTGTGCAGTATGATTAGCAGTAGGTTCCTCCCAGCAGATACTGCTGTTGTGGACACAAAGGTGAGATAAAAATTGACTGGAACGTGCGGTCCGGAACATCAAATGAAACCTCCTGAGTCTCGTGCGATTTTTGGTAATGGTAGGCACTTGGGGGAGGGGGAAACGGGAAGTTGTGGTGCAGAAGACATGAACTCTTGTGTGAAATCAGTGTATACATCAGGCGTACTCAGTTTCAGACAGACTTTGTCCCTCTGATAGACTGCGATCAAGGTAACCATCGTTACCGGAATAATAATCGTCGGGTAAGTCTTCAGATGGATGACCACGGGCGTTGGCAAACGATATGGATTTCTGATAACTAAAAAGCTCACGTTCTAAGCTGTTATTTTCTGCCTGGAGCGCTCCAATCTCTCTCCTGAAAGATGGGAAACACTAATAAAAACCATTATAAACTATCACTTAGGCTTAGGTTGACAAACAGCTAACGGTAGACATACCTATTGTAAACAAAATAAAATTAATTAATTTTCATCAAATACTAAACGGAAAAAATAAAATAAATTATTTAATGTGTGAAATTCATATATACTCTTGGAACAGTCTATAGGGAAATATTTTTATAATTTCAAACATGATGTGTGATCTATAATTATCGCATTTGCTCACGATGTAATGTTCCCTTCACATGCATATAATATTGTATTTTATCTACTTCTTCACTAGCTTACATTTCTAGAGAAAAACCTTAGCTACATAGAGAAAATACATATTTATATGACTTAAAGAAGTATGTATACATATATAGGGGGACGAATCATGATGCATCGTGCTGCTTTGGAGTAATGTCAGAGGACTAAATATATCGCACACAGATTTCTTGACATTTTTGAAAACAGAAATCTAATTTAAAGATGGCTTGTGATATGGAAGCTACTATATAACAGCACTATTTGAAATGAAAACCCGAGATTCATAGCGAACTCAAACTTTCCATTTCGACTGCCATATTGGCTTTAGAGAGTTAAATCTCATTGTCGTGCTTCGTATGTCACTCAAGCGAGAAGTTAAACAGCCGAAGATCAAGGCAGTTTCAAGGGCAGATTTTCTTTACAAATAGTTTCGTAATAGATCTTATTATATACCGGAAAATGACTGCTTTGTAACATTTATCGTGATATACACTACAGTAGTTTCGAAACTTTTGAAAATATATCCATCCACGAAACTAAGAACACAAATCTTGCTACAGTTGGACGTGAGGATGAAATTACATAAGTCTGCTATATACGATATTTCAAGGCTTAAAGTAAAACGAAGAAAATGCATAAGTTTAAATCATGGCTGCTATCTTAACCTTACATATTGCTAGCCTTCAGCGTGAAGATCTCCATTCTGAATGGGATCGGGTTGTTGGATTTTTTTTTAATGTTTGACCATACGTGAATAATTAGTATCATGATTGTAAAGACAGAATCACCCTCAACTTTCAGAACAATCCGAAGTTAGATTCTAGTGATATTACCTTTATTTAATAAGCGTTTGAAATAACACAACATAAGAAATAGATATTTCGTTAAACAACCGTGTGATTTTTAGTGATGTGTTTAGAAGATTCTATAATGTATAATGTATTTTCCCTTGAGCATGTCAATAAAAAACAAGAAAGCTATTGGTAACATAAATTATATAAATGTTACGTTTTATAAAAAGTTTTTAGTACTATTAAACTGAATTTATTCAATATCTATTAAAACAACTGGGCATAATTCTACTGTTGTTTCTATTATTAAATACTATATTGTAATACAAAGTCAAAGCTAAAACTTGTTATATGTTCGTAAGAATTGTAAAGCCAGAATAACCCTAAACAAATTCTAATTACATATACTACACGAATATTCCTTCAACGAAAGTCACCCCCCCCCCTCAGTGACGTAGCGGTATGTCTGCGGACTTACAACGGTAGAAACCGGATTTCGATACCCGTGGTGAGCTGAGCACACATCGCCCGCTGTGTAGCTTTGTGCTTAATTCCAAACAAATCAACGAAAGCCAAGTGTCATTGGTGGAAAGAGAGCCATCTAGTTTGTAGCTATTATACTTATTATATCATCCCCTTCATTACATTTCAAGACGACAGTCATGAAGTTTGGTAAAATAATGGAGTACATATTTTTCACACTTATTCTGTCATAAAACATTCTAAAACTTTGTTTTCCAGTGTATTCTTAGCCAATATAATGCTTAACTGTTATCCTCTAAAGAGGTACAATATATTTAGTATCGAAGCTGAAATTCCAAATGTTTATAATGTTTATAAGTAAGAAGGTTGAACACTCTATCAACTCAAGAATGATTCTAATCAAGGAGCCAGTGAAATAAAAGGGACACAGTATTCACCAGTATTATTTCATAAATTCAAAGTCGTTTATTATGATTACTCCACATAAATACAAAATGAAAAGTAGTTTTTATTCTCAATGATGTTCGAACACGTGCATTTCTTCTATTAACTTAATTACTTTAAAAAAACTTTTAATTAAATACCCGAGAGGTTATAAATTATTCTTTTTTTATAGATCTTAAGTAAAAGAAGTAAGGTTTAATGTAGCGTTTCATAATATCAAGAATAGGAAAACTGATCTACCAAAGTAATGTATAAATACCTAGTTTGCTATAGTGTTCAACATCTGCTTCTAAGATTTAATAATGCTTGAAATATGATATATATATATATATAGGTAGAGTCGGTGTTATTAGATACAAAAACCTCTTTAGGATTTGAAATAAGAAATGTGATCCATTTTAGTGATAGACTGCACGGTACACTGGGTATAAAACATTCTGTACATGAACACTAAGAATATAACAGTTAATCCGTTTCAAAAGTTACAATTATATTTTAAAGTAATGCATTGCCAAGAGCTTTTAAAACAAGCTATCCTTTATTATATTTATTTTATACTGGGATGCGATATTGTGTGTAATTAGTTAAGCCTACCTAAACCCAATTACAGCCAACTTCAAATGCTGTTTAACTTATTGATCCAAAATTTTGTTTGTTCTAAGGATCTGACTATTTACACCCGTTTTTTGTTTTTTTACAGTTTAGAGGAATATCAAACTATACATATATCAATAGAGAGATTTACATATTAAATTTACTGTTGAAATTGCCGAAGGAAAAATATCTTATAAAGTTAAAATTATGTGATCTGCTCAAATAAACTTGATGTCAATACAGAGTGTTCAGTAAGCTGTATTAAAACTACAGCGTTTCATATGTATTATAATGCCCCCGAAAACTGGTCGCTTTTGAAAAGGATATACAACCTCTTTCCGACACTCATACATTCAGATAACTAGAATCTGTTCAAATTGGGGATATATAATTTTCAAGAGAGGGATATACTTTGTGCTTATTGGAATTGAAAAAAAAGAATATGGGTCAACTTGGAAACCCAGGACTATTCATAAAGAGACCTGTAACAAGTCGTCCCGCAGCCATGATAAACAAAATGCGGCGTCTTGTAACTGGTGAGCATCTACGAATACAAAGTTCAGTAGCAAAAGCTATTCACTTCCCCTATGCAACAGTAGCAAATATTAGAAACAAGAAGAAATAACCCACAAAACTTCAACAAGTAATACACCAATAATAATTTTCTATGAGTAAATAACCCAAACACTTCAACAAGTAAAATACTAATACTAGCTTTGTATGAAAACAATAATCCTAAGATACTTCAAAAAGTAATACCTCATTGTTAACTTAGAATGAATAAATAATCCCAAACACTTAAACAGGTAATACATCAATACTAACTTTATAAGAAGCAAATAACCCCAGAACCTTATAGAAATAACACATTAATACTGATTTTTGAAGAAAGTAACCCCAAACCTTTCTAGAAGTAATGAATATAATATTAACTTTGTATGAAGACATAAATCTCAATTATTTCAAGTAACAGATCAATACTAACTTTATATGAAGAAATAGCTTCTATAAGTAACAGATCAATACTAACTTTATATGAAGAAATAGCTTCTATAAGTAACAGATCAATACTAACTTTATATGAAGAAATAGCTTCTATAAGTAACAGATCAATACTAACTTTATATGAAGAAATAGCTTCTATAAGTAACAGATCAATACTAACTTTATATGAAGAAATAGCTTCTATAAGTAACAGATCAATACTAACCTTATATGAAGAAATAGCTTCTATAAGTAACAGATCAATACCAACTTCGAATGAGAAAATAGATTCTGGTGCTTGGATTAGTTTCTTATAAGCGCTTAGTCTATCCTTATTTTTTATCTGCGATTGTGCAAAACGGTCTTGCTGACATTATTTATTTATATTTCACACTATTAATTTTGGAATTTCTTTCTAAACGATAACTTAGAAGTACATATTGCGTTACAGAAGACGAAAAGTAATTATTTAAAAAAAATATACATATTTACATGAAAAAATACCAGTTAATAATAAATCGATTATTTAAAATTCTGACAGAAATCTGCGGGAATGGTTACTAAAACACAGTGTAATGAAACATTTCACATTGCGCAGAAGCAGCGTATACATTAGAAAATTAAGATATTATAAAGACTGCAGTTTAGAATCCATGGATCAAGTTCACAGTGGTAGCAAATAACTTTCAATATAAATCAATGTGTATAGTGGTTTCTGGTAATGATAGTTCATGGTACTGGTGTGTATTTTAAGTGTGAATAATTGTGGCAAATGTTAAAGGTTGCGTAACACACCTGGTGGTTATTTGGAAGCAAAGTATCTGGTTATGAATCCACTTGCTATAGATAGCGGAAGTCTTGACAGATAAAGTAAAACAGGCCAATTTCAAACGTGCCCCAAGTTTATCTATGGCTTGTGAAGATATTTGAGAACACTATGCGCCATAGAATAATTTTCTAATTGATTCTATTTTACCAACGTTCCACTTTAAGCATCGTGGTGAAATATCCACATTAGAATTACAGGAAAGTGAATAATTTATGTATTTTTTTTTACCTTAAAATAAGACCAATTTTTCTAAATATCAGTTCAAATAACAGACACACTTTTATAAAGTTACACTTTTGAATTTGATATATTAATACTTGTTTTAAAAATAAAACAAAATAATATTTCACTTACCGCATCTGGTGGCCATGAATTCGACATAGGTCGTCATATTTATGGTAGATGGCGCCAAACAAAAACAAAGATTCCAGCCATTCAATATGAACTGTCAATTGGCCATTAGTTCCCAAATATCCATTAGACGTGTCTCGAATCTACAAGATTCGTATATAATAAGTACTATATAGCATGTAAAGTAAACATTCTAATTAACAAACACTCACACAGATATATATATATATATATATATTCATTTTTAATTGCTTGCCATACTTTTTAAAACTTTAATTCAGAGCTTTGTTTAATACCACGTTTTAAAGTTAATTTGGACAATATTTACACATATGAAAGTGTCTTTGATAGAAAAACACATTTTAATAATCAATTTGTATCAATTTGTGATCTGAGAGGCAATGCCTCTTCCAGTAAAACTAGAAATACAAGCTCGTATTGAATTATAATTACAGCAATTTTATATGAAAGCAATCAGAGATTTATGTTCTAGCCTTTCCTATACGCGATGCGACACTCACCCGATTTTTACCATGACCTGATTTTGTAACAAAGATAAACCAGCGTTAAGCAATGCAGATATGTTAGAAAGCTACTGTAGCACAAAATATTAGCAAATATTAAAGCCACCGTAAAAAAGAAATTGCTCAAATCCGCGGGAAATACGCGAACTTGACAAACGTGACCATTCAGCAGGAGTTTAATTTCTCCATTGAACATTACAATACACAAATTAAGTATGTTATATCAAACCCTTTTGGAACCTTATCAAGTTGTTATGGTTCAAATCACCACGTCCGATCACGCTCTATCTAACGATCATGCATCTTGACAATAACCCTGCAGCGTAATTTTTCTATTACAAAAGGCTCTGTTGCAAGGCTGCCATGTTTAAAGTGCATACCTTCTCTCTGGGGCTTTCCATAATATATTTAGTGTACGAGCAAGATGGTTTCCCAGTGAACCTATCTAATCGCATATAAATTCTTGACCTTTATGTTGTCGTATGAAATAGTATGAATATCCCTTTCATTCTCCAGTTGCTTGAGGTATGCATTGGCTGAACTTGTATGTTGTGGAAGGAACTGTTGTACACCTGCCTTGTCGCTTTTACAGATGGAGATCCTTCTTCATTATTTAGCGTACTGTTGCCTGGGTACGATTTGTTGCAATCTCTCTTTGCATGGTTCTAGTTCCCAAAGTTGGTTCATATTCCTTTGTTTTCCAATGCGATTAAGTATAAGGAATATTTTCGTCCAGTAAATTATAAATTCCCGAATTTAACATAAATTTATAATCTGGATGAATAAAAATTTTACCTCTAAAAAGGGCTGTTGCATATTTTTTTTTCCAAAAGCAATCCATTTTCTTCAACTATCTACGTAACGCCAGACAGTGTGAACATGTAGTTTGATACATGACGTTAGACCACGGCCTTATATATGCTGTGATTTTGAAAATCGTTTTGACCCTGTATATGTACATATCTAACGTTTAAGATCCCTGTTTTACGTTATCTAGCGCACAAGAGCTTAAAATTACCATAGATTCTCGTATATTGACATTGTATCGAAGAATTGGTGCAAAGAAATCAGGTATAATGACAATCTAATGAAAAGAACTGTAGTTATTGAGTTCAAGGTTGTCTTCGTGTCGTGCTATAAGTTAGAAAGTTACTACTTTTGAAGATAGATAAATCACAACATCGAAAATTATATTCCGGTAAAAGAATTACGTGTTTGATTCAACCACATTACCAACGGTTGATTGAAAACATTCCCAATTACCCCGACATAAAAGACGGCATATCTTGTCTCAGCTTAGTTGTTATTGAATTTATGTATCAAACCATGTATATAAACAGATTTTAACAGAGAACTTGCACATAGTATATTGTACTATAAAATCCTTCAACAATAATTACCCATCAAACAAAGTTCATTTATTGTTGTACCTAATGAGTGGCGTAACATATATATATTTAAGGTACTTCTTGAGTGATTTAGAACCAAGAGTTTAGTTTTAATTTCTATTTCCTTATGGTAGTATTATTATTGTTAACGTCAGGAACAAACCCATCAAAAGGATGCTGTTCTGAAACATCACATAATGTTTTGTTCTATACGACATCACCTATGACAATTTAAAAAGATTTCCGTAGGAATTAACATTAAACATCTGGTACTTGATATTTAATTATCAGGGTATCCTAACATTATTGTTAACAAACTGAAGCTAAAATATTAATTGGATAAATGATAGTACAGATATATAATTACGACTGTTGCATGATGATTATGCATTTGTCATGTATACCTCTATGTAGCTTTATCAAAAAAGGTACAGTTTAGGAAGAGCAGAAGTATAATGGTAAGAAAATTGTCACTTATATTACATAAATGACAGTTTAACAACAAAACATTAATAGCGTAAGGAACATAGGTTTACAACAGAAAGACATGCTAGAGGCATTATTTGTAAATAACATAAAGACAGGTTAAAGTCAACATTTACAGAACGTTAGGTGTCTCGTGAGTACACATACAAACTTTAGTGAATATTTACAGAATGTTGGATACTTCATTTGTATATAATATAAAGATAGGCTAATGCCAACTTTAATGTTAAAGAATGTTACAGATATCATTTGTATATAATATAAAGATAGGCTAATGCCAACTTTAATGTTAAAGAATGTTACATATATCATTTGTATATAACATAAAGATAGGCTAATGCCAACTTTAATGTTTAAGAATGTTACAGATATCATTTATATATAATATAAAGACAGATTAATATCAACATTTGCAGAATGTTAGAGATATTATTTGTACATAATATAAAGACAGGTTAACTCCAACTTTTACAGAATGTTAGAGATATTATTTGTACATAATATAAAGACAGGTTAACTCCAACTTTTACAGAATGTTAGAGATATTATTTGTACATAATATAAAGACAGGTTAACTCCAACTTTTACAGAATGTTGAAGACATCATTTGTATGTAACACAAAGACAAGTTAATGTTAACATTTACAGAATGGTAGAGGTATCATTTGTGTACAAAATAAAAATACTAAACGTTTGAAGCTTTGCTTATGGAATAAACATATTTTTAACAGCAGAATCTGCAATAATATCTGAACTGTTACTTATAAAAAGTATCTTTCTCGTTTTTTAACTAAAAGCAAAAGTCAGCATTTTTATAAACTAAAAATAAACGTTGTTATAGCTCCCAGTTAGTGGTTCAAGTAGAATATTAAACGGTAGAGAAATTAATTATGCTTATGGAAAGCTAAACAACTGAACTAGAAAACAAATGCAAGAACGTGAGATGGCTAACTATGTTGGAGAATAACAATAATATGCATGACTTACTTAGACTGTAGGACTAAGCGTAGTGAACAAATGATCAATACAAATATGTATATTATTTTTTTAACTACGCCCTACATTGTAACTGTATTCACCAAACGGTAAAATTCTCTCGTTTAGTGTGCACACAGCATGACTTTGGAAAACAGCCCAAAGAAACAATCAAAACTATAGATTAGAAGTGGTTAAGCCATGCGATGATATCTAATAGGAAATGTAGAATAATACATGAGCACATAAAGTTTAGAATCTACTTTAAAAATAATCAAACGGGACAATAAACAACTGAAAAATACCAATCTCATTAAATTAGAAAAATCGTTGCATATTATAAAGGATAACAAAAACTAAGAATTCATGTAAATGAGAATGTTACCAAAAGATTTAGCGAAAATATCGAACTTGAAAAATCAAGAAAAGTTACTTATTATTTTTTATGTTTCTCTATTTTTCATAAGATCGATAAAAATTAAAGTGACAACTTGTCACGAATGACGTCATCGACACTTCGTGGGTGTTTATAACAACAAGCACGGTGTAAAGTTCAAATCGTCGTTGAACTTTTGTGCATTTCGATGACGTAATTCAGAATCTCAGCTTTTGATAATATAATCATATAGATTTTTATTCAGTGCACATAGTTTTTTCAAGAAAGTACTTAACATTAACATAGAATAAAATTAACAATGAAAATGATTCCCCAAATAACATTGCTTTAGATATAATCAGGTGAATTTCGGCAATATGTGGCTTTAAAATTTTTTGTTTTGTTCTTTCATTAGATTTAATTCTATTCAAACATAAATGGTATGCCGAAATATCTTAATATAAACTATTCTGAAGAAATATTTTCATTTCAGACTATTAATCAATACAGTTATTATGCATATAAGAAAATAACAATTATTTATGTCATAAGAATGCCTGGATATTGACTACTGAGACTTGGTCACGTGCTAAGTTGTGATGTGGTTCATAACAAATTGACATAAGTACTTTATCAGCAAATTAACCAAGATTCTGTGTCCATTATGTTCAAAAGCCATTTAGAAGTTAGCCTCAACAATTACTTACCTAAAGCGAGGCTGTAAGGTTTCGAATGTTGGTATGTCTCATTTTAGACGTTAAGGTTTGTTTTTATGAATGTACAGTATTAAACAAAAAATCAGACACTTTCTACGGTGATAGAAAAAACTTCTGTTACTCGTCTTGAGTGAATATTAGATTGCAATACATTTTGTTTCATTTAGTACTTGAGTGCTTGTGTTAGATTGGGCTACTGGACAGCTATCTGAACTAGCAGTCTCTATTTATAATCGTAGACAAGATGGAAAGCACCCATTGCCCAATTATCTGCATAAATAGTTGTCCTCAGACAGTATTTGTAAACCAAGAAATGAACACATAGCGTTTTTCAGTTTTTTAAAAAAGAAAATCCACTGAAAACGATCGTAGTGTTACTCGTAAAGATTTTAGTAAAGCAATTAAAGTCAGTTATTTTTTAGTACCTGTAGAATATAGATCAAAAGAAGTAGGCAATTAGTAACAAGAGTCATCTATCAGGCAACTGTCAGAAAATAAGAGATCCTTCATGAGATCCTTCCTTTTTCTTCTGACTGGGCAAGTCTGGTGTAGAAGTACGAGTACCCTCTCACTAACCATCTTACCAAGTGGCTATATGGATATTTTGTCTTCAAAGACACTTGGCCTGGCATGGCCAGGTGGTTAGGGCGCTCGATTCGCAATCTGTGGGTTTGAATC